TCTATTTTACAACAATTATGGAACATGTTATGTCAACTTATATTAATCACTCTTGTTGGCCCGGATGTTAGCGCGCCGGTGTTGGAGGAAACCGGAGTACCTGGAGAAACCCACGTGGTCGGGCAGGTGGCCCCATACCTTTTCTCGTCCGATCTGGGAATCGAACCCCGGCCACCTTGGTGAAAGGCAAGTGCGCTATCCTCTGCACCACCCGACCACCCCAAGAGGGATAGTTTGATTAAATTGTGGCAAACAATTAAGGGTAGACGTTAGATTACAAAACCATTCAGGTTTATTAATTACTTAATTTCTTGAAATAACTACACGTTTTATTCAATTATTTGATCCAAAGTATATATATTTAAAGTAACGAGAATGTTGCTCTTCCGCCCATTCATTGATCACATTTCTTGAAGAACGTTATCAAAACCCCTTTGACCTTATGCATTTAGTTTATATACATGTGCCAAGTATGTTATCAATGATAAATTAAATAGTTGTGTTATTGCCAATAATTCATTTCCAAAATGCTTATAGTGCAGTATATACGCATACAAATAAATTTCTCTAGTACAGTAAACTTGAAAACATTGTTTATGGCGCGGATGTCATTCATGTGATAATTTTGTATCACTGGGCATTCATTTAACGTTATAGAATTTATAAATTAACAAAAAACATTTTTTTTTTTTTTTATTTATCTCAATTTAAAATAAACAATGATATGTTTTACCTCAGGGAAGCACTGAATATGGCTGCTAAAAAAAGTCCTGGAAGACATGGAGTGTTCTTGAAGATATCAATCACCATATTAGCAATCAACTGAAGAATGAGTCAAACAAAAGAAACGTTATAAAATTTAAATAAGTCAAACAAAAAAACGTTATATTGACATTTGATATAGCTTATTTGCAGTAAACTGTCAATTAACAGAAAAACTGTCAATAATTATGAGTGCTTCATGTAAAAAACATGGATTCCTCATAGATATAATGGCATTGCACATTATGTAATGTATATCTTCTTTATACCCGTACAATGGTAGTTTACTATGTAATAAGTTTGTACAAGATAAATATAAAATAACATTTGTTTTCGCAACAACCATGAACAAACTAGGATAATGTAATTACATTACGTGCGTAAGAACATTGTGTTTATATCTATAATAGGTAACTACAACACATGCTGTATGTGAGGGAATAATGATGTTTTAACGCAACGATCATTTGTCATTAAAAACAATAACTCGATTGGCGACAAAAGCGTTCTACCATCAAAATTGTGTCTGATATATGTTTGAAAAATATTTTGGTGTTACATTTATACTCTATCAAACCACACACATGTTTGAAAGATAACGCACCGATCCTTATCATTTTATAATAAACTTCCATGCTGTGCTAATGTTAATAAAATATAAAGCAAGTCACTTGTTCAAAACTCTAGTAAGTCGATGCAGGTATTGATTGTTACGTCATTTGTTTGTGAGAGTAACGTCATGAATTTTTGAGAAAACCACGTAATTTTCTCACACAAACCACAATGACGTAACAATCAATACCTGCTCACAAGAGAAGATAACTCTGCAATACGCAAAGACGGAAAACCAGTTTGTCAATTCAGTGCTAATCAGCGGTTCTAAATGTTAGAATAATAAAATTCTTGACGAAAGACTGACTGATTCTTTTGAGAATTATTGAAAAGATAAAAAGAAATTCGGCTGATGATACATTGAAAATTAAAAACATGTTATTTGAAAACATATGTTTATGAATATAAACTTACTTGGTTAGGATTGGTTACCTCCCCTGTTGCCAATGGATCACAGCCTTTTGTTTCATAATAAGCAAACATGACGACTCCTTCTAAAGCGGCAATCAAATTAATAAAAAGGAAGGCGAAAGCCGTAAACAGATACATTCTGAAAGACAAGGAAACATGTAAATATTAACACGATTTTGGGAGACTCTAAACTGTTCATATATAAACGTCCACATCATCAACACAGTGCTGTACAGGTTCTTTTATGATTTTATGACTGAAAAGACTTTTTAGATACTCACACAGGTGTTTTGGTATAGACACCAAATAAGCATTTCTCACAAAGGCTTCTCTTCAATTTCTGATTTGAAATAAGCAAAACTATTTGATTTTGAAATAAAGTTTTAGCAAAATGGAAAATTATATCCAACATAATTATACAACTTGGTCTGGGAAAATGATATGCGGTCAATTATCAATATTATGTTTCCTTTTGGAGCAATCATTTTACTTGCAATCTTTTATTTAATCGTGTTTTTTTAACTATCAATTATATTGTTTCGTGTACATGCACCTGTCTCTGTAAAACTTTTAAACGCGAGTCAAAGGAGGAAACTGATTATAATATGTATAATAACATCATTGTATTTACGACTATCCACACTAATAACAAATCAAATATAATTCGTACGTTAACATTAGCTATATGGAGTACAATTAGTCCCACATTAGACATCTACCCGAAAACATAGATAATTGATGATAGATGATACTTTATCAATGACTTTCTATGAAATCCTTGATGCCAAGATAGTCAAACATGCTTATACTTAAAAAATATATGCAACTTAAAAGGAAATTTATTGCAATGAATAATTATTGATTTATATTTTTGAAAAACAAACCACAACCAAGTTGCAACGGTTTCTTTAATGGGTGTTTTTCAAGAATTGTTAAAGACGTCAGTGACCTCCCCTTGATTCCGACAGAACATGAACTTATAGATGACGTCATGAACGATAGTTTAACAACGAAAGTTAAATGTTATTCCGTCTCATTTTAAATATTCCTGACGTCTTTAATCCAGGTCAGGGTGACCCATGATTTCGAAATAATCACACAAAAACAATATATTAAAATCGTCGGCTTTAGCTGATATGACAATAATAAAACATCAAAGTTACATAGCGCCGCCAGTAAAACTCAGTTTGAGAGATTACAGTCAAGGTATAACTCCGCAGATCTCAAAATACAGTTTGGTTAACCTCTAATTGTAGAAATTGTAGTGCACGAGCTATAGAGTATACCTTACATTTATACTCGGGCATTTTTGGAAAGACGCTCTCAGTTATTGAAGGTAATCCCACTTAGCACGCGCGTTAATAATACTTGAATAGGTTAATTGTGTTACAGACATTGCCAAAAAACATGTTCCAATAGCATGCATTACATTGTTCTATTTGTGTAAGGGTAATATTGCTGTAGACATAGTTTCAAAGTACATTGGCAGGTCTTTTATGCTTTTCTTTTTATACTTTTCGTAAATAATTCAATTGTCGCTAAATGTATCTATACACAGTTGGTGTTCATAGTGTGTCACCTGTCACTATATACCGTTAGGGTTCATAGTGTGTCACTTATCACTATACACACAGTTAGTGATCATAGTGTGTCACCTGTCATTATACACACAGTTAGTGATCATAGTGTGTCACCTGTCGCTATACACACAGTTAGTATTCATAGTGTGTCACCTGTCATTATACACACAGTTAGTGATCATAGTGTGTCACCTGTCATTATACACACAGTTAGTGATCATAGTGTGTCACCTGTCGCTATACACACAGTTAGTATTCATAGTGTGTCACCTGTCATTATACACACAGTTAGTGATCATAGTGTGTCACCTGTCGCTATACACACAGTTAGTGATCATAGTGTGTCACCTGTCGCTATACACACAGTTAGTGTTCATAGCGTGTCCCCTGTCACTATACACACATTTGGTGTTCATAGTGTGTCGCCTGTCACTATACACACAGTTAGTGATCATAGTGTGTCACCTGTCTCTATATATACAGTTAGTGGTCATGGTGTGTCACCTGTCCCTTTATACAAAGTAAGTGTTCATAGTGTGTCTCCTGTCACTATATACAGTTAGTGTTCATAGCGTGTCCCCTGTCACTATACACAGTTAGCGTTCATAGTGTGTCCACTATATACACAGTTGGTGCTCATAGTGGGTCACTTGTCACTATATACGCAGTTGGTGTTCATAGTGTATCACCTGTCACTATATACTGTTAGTGTTCATAGTGTCAATTGTCACTATATACACAGTAAGTGTTCATAGTGTGTCTCCTGTCACTATATACAGTTAGTATAGTGTGTCACTTGTCACGAGATACCCAGTTAGTGTTCATAGTGGGTCACCTGTCACTATATGTACAGTTAGTGTTCATGGTTTGTCACCTGTCACTATACAAAGTTAGTGTTCATAGTGGGTCACCTGTCACTATACAAAGTTAGTGTTCATAGTGTGTAACCTGTCACTATACACATAGTTTGTGTTCATAGCGTGTCACCTGTCACTATAAACACAGTTAGTGTTCATGGTGTGTCCCCTGTCACTATATATACAGTTGGTGTTCATGGTGTGTCACTTGTCACTATACACAGTTAGCGTTCATAGTGTGTCACCTGTCACTATATACACAGTTGGTGCTCATAGTGTGTCACTTGTCACTATATACACAGTTGGTGTTCATAGTGTGTCACCTGTCACTATATATACAGTTAGTGTTCATGGTGTGTCACCTGTCACTTTATACACAGTTAGTGTTCATAGTGTGTCACCTGTCACTATACACACAGTTAGTGTTCATAGTGTGTCACTTGTCACTATATAAACAGTTAGTGTTCTTAGTGTGTCACCTGTCACTATACACACAGTTAGTGTTCATAGTGTGTCACCTGTCACTATATACACAGTTAGTGTTCATAGTGTGTCACCTCTCACTATATACACAGTTGGTGTTCATACTGTGTCACCTGTCACTATACACACGGTTAGTGTTCATAGCGTCTCACCTGTCACTATATGCACAGTTAGTGTTCATAGTGTGATACTTGTCACTATATACACAGTTAGTGTTCATAGTGTGCCACTTGTCACTATATACAGTTATATAACGCTTTCGTTTAGAACGAGTAACATATATCTACCAACAAACCTCTTTGCTGACGACACTGTTGGAGTTGCCTTGATTCTCAGGAAAGACACTTGTGTCAGTGGCACTCCTAGTCCGGATATAGTACTCCCCACAACAAGGCTCCAAAATGTCTGTCGTAGTGTTGGATCAGGATCAAAACTGTTTACAAACAAAAGAACAATATAGTTCAGCTTTCAGCTAGTTTCCATTGTCAGACATTTAATGTTAACATTTCTTTTCTTTTTTTTATCGAAAATGAACAAATGACAGACAAAATATTGTGATTGAATGCTCAATATGACGCCATAGTAAAAATGATTTCAACCTTTGTATAGGACACACAAGACATAACCACATTTGACATTGCGATTTCTATGACACAATGTTAGCTATGACATTTATTATTATCATTATCAATACGATACAAAACAATGAGTACTTAAACGGTGCGTGAGGACAAGCGACATTCAGATAGGGAAAGACAAAAAAGAACATATTTTCTTACTCAAAATCGGTTTTCTTAAACTGATCAAACAAGAAGCAAGTCTCAAACAACTTTAAGACACTTATTGTTCTTCGTTGTTGAATAACTTTACCAGGTAGTTTGTTTCTTGTGGTATGTTTAATTCGAAAAGCCGGTTCAACAGCCAAAGTTTGTTGCTGTGGTTGTTGATGAAAAAACCTATGATGTTGCCTTTTCCAAGACCGAAATACCATGTGACTTGGAGCAGAATTTCCCCCAATATATAGCACCCTGACCCGGAACCTTATTTCCTGGTAGCACCACCGTATATACGTAGTGCAACCGTGTCACACCTTGGAAATCCGTGGGCAACCGTGAATAGTTGTAGTGTCACCTTAATGAAATCGTATTAGAAGCGGCACATACCGTGTAAGACCACAGTGCACCGCACAATATTTGGCGGTGGTCGTAATGACACCTTAGCACTGCCGTGATTCTCCCTAGTGCCGCCGGAAGTCGACATGACTCCCGAGCACGACGGTCACCCCCACATGGCAACGGAAGCTTGCACGGTGAATCTACGGTGGTTCTACGGTGGTACTACGGTGATATTACGAATTTCAACATACCGGAGGTTTTAAACATTTTAAAACGACCACCCAGGATCAACACGAATTACCCTGGCTTCAATACGGACTCGCTACGGATACCCGGGGTTGTCCCCGGTTTGCACCACCGAAGCACATCGGAGCTCCATACCGGCACAGTGTGATCAGGGCTTTAAGCCAACTCATATTTGACATACATATTGCATTTCATAGAACACATTATATTTTGTTTTATTTTCAACTGGCAAGAGCTGACATACTTGAATAGATTCAGCCTTCCTTTGTCGCTAAAGGCTGTCCATGTAGCAGCAATACCTCCTGAATCCATTGTACCCTGGCTCAACAGAAATATCAGTTTGTAAGTTTAAAATACAAAATAGAGTTCTTGCTCTTTAATTGTGTATTCTAACAATAAAATGAGAACAAATACTTCTATGTCAGATATGACATATGTTGCTTATGGTCCTCAGCTAACATTATTAAAGCTTAATGAACCGATTTATTGAGTGGCTGAATGCAATATGTTCGAACATAAATAAAAAACAACACATTATACATTAGCAAGCACCTGCTTTTTTAAATTAATATTTATAAACTGCTGTATTACAGCTTCTGTAATTAGTTGCGTGTACATTCATACCTTAATAAGAAGTGCAAAGATGCCACCAAACATTAAAACGGCTTGAACAACGTCCGACCACACAACCGCCTGGAAACCTCCCTAGGAACAAAATATACGGATATATAACAATGAACTGCTTGCCGTGAAACTTTCGCTCAGTCTCATCTTAAATCCATATTCGCCCAGTAATACTTTCGCCCTTCACATGTCTTCATTATAAATGATAAGCTGTGTAGTTAATAAACGATGTTATTATCAATTCGTCCTTTTACAGATAGCTAAACAGGCGAAAATATAACTGCGTTGAATATTTCCTGCTTTATAAAATATAAATAATAGAACCGATAAACAAAATACACTGTATCAAGGGGTCGGGGTGGTCAAGTGGTTAATGCGTTTGGCATTCTACTTCATGTACCACTAGCCCTTCACCACTGGATAGTGGGTTCGATGCCTACGTGGGTCAGTCGCCAGGTACTGGCCGAATGTCGGTGGGTTTTCCCCGGAAACTCCGGCTTTCCTCCACCACCAAAACCTAGCACGTCTTTCAATGACCATAGCTGTTAATAGGACGTTAAACACAAACAAACCAAAACAAAACATCAAGGATTTTTACAAACATTTACAAAGGAAAATGCAGCTCTATAACAGCAAGCAATATTTAGTTTAGAATTTTTAAGAATGTTCGTTAGTGAGTGTGCAAAATTAATTTCAAAAGGTAAGTAAACATTATTGTAGATGGTGCGCCACTCACTATTAGGGTATAAATGACCACTATAACCATCACGCCAACAATGGATAACCAATGTGGAATCTTCGCAACTGAAAAATATAAATGCATTTGTAAATGGAATGTTTAAATCAGCATTTTGTTTTTACTTTGTCGTTCAATTAACAAAAAATGATTTTCTTGTTAAAATTAAACTGCAAATCTATAGAAAATATAGCTTCCCTACATGCTCACATGGATACAATATTTATTTATCAAAATTTCAGCAACCGTGTCAAAAATGGTTGTCCCATGTGTATGAATATCGTAAACGAAAGAACGCGTATTTTAATGAAGCCAAATTAATGGAAAATGTGATCTGTTTTTCAAGGTGTTTTTGCAAATGAAATCATCATTTTTTTTTAATTTAGCTAAACAATTCTTACCAGCTTCGAGTGTTACTGCAGGAACAAATAGGACAGTTCCTGTATAGTTCAGCTAGAAAGAGCGAAGCATATGTTAATGACATCAAATTAAAACATCGATTTCATTTCAATTTTGTTCAGCACCAATTTTTAAAATATGTTAATGTGACATCGTTATCCGTTTTCAGCGTCATACTGTCCCCTTTCTTACGGGATAACTAGAACACAGTTGCAGACAAAATGATAGAAAATATCAATAAAACGTGTAGACAACGTAATATGTCAGTCTTGATAAGACCTTACCAGTTTACTGAGAGGACATACACATCTATTCGTGCGTAAGTACTACACTGGATACAATTGTCTTATTTTAACATAACTAGTACGAACAGTACATACCCCTGAAATGATGCTTAACACTGTAGCAAACATCCGGATACCGTGTGACTTATATCGTAGCTCAAGGTACTGTAAATGAAAAGAAAAGGTTACCGTCAATATTATAACGTCATATTGTCGTCCTCATAATATGTTTTTGTTGTGTATGTTGACGTTGTTAACCTCCCTACAACATCTTGGATAAGTTAAATGACGGTTTCTATAGAAACAAGGGACATCTCACTTAAATGGTTTAAAGTAACACCAAATATTTGGGGCTTATTAATTGTGTCTAAGAAGACACCATAGAAGCAAAAGAAAGAACGGATAAAAAAAGCTAAATGTTTTATAAATGTAACATAGCATTGTTGTTCTCAAAAAGAAATTGAAATTCTGTATGTGGTTTCCTGTAAGTCTGTCTACGACCAGGAATAGGACACAATGAGTCTGTTCTTTTTAAACGTCCACCAACATAAAGGATGTAGATGGTAAGTGTTAATATTCGCCTTTAAAGTCAGTCATGATATCCCTTAGCAATTGATATGAAATTTTTATCTTATGGCACATTCACAACCCAATCATAAAACAAATGTGTCATTTTCAATTAAATAAACCCATTTGAAAATGTTTTGTAACCAAAAATATCAAAAAGGCCGACTAGCCGCATTTTATTGTATTTTGTTTTTAATTTGTTCCTTGGTGAAAGGTGAGACAATCAGCCATAAATGAATTACACTATACAATACAGATGTTACTAGGGGTCAAAAAGGTGGAAAATCTTATTTGTACAAACTAAACAATAATCCAACTACGTTTTCATGCCGGTGTGGGTTAGTGATAATCATCTAAAATGTTATTTGGTCTTTGATGGACTTAATCTATATATATATGCTAAGAGGTCAAAGCCCCGTCAAACAAATACTTGTTTTATATTTAGATTACATTAACCCCAGCCTGATAAATCTAAACGTTCCTGTCCAGAGTAGGATTGAATGCTGTTAAAACAATAACCATTCTGAAATATTACGACCGAAGGTGGTTTTGGAGAGACACTGCCCTACACCATCGATTTTTAAAAATTGAAAAAAAACGATCGGGCGTCTGATACGATTATGTATGTAGATACAGAAGAGAACCCTTTTTCTGATGTTCCAAACCTGCAAAGAATATATCAGCGGAAATAAAAAAATATTATCTTTGCACATGAGTCTCAATTTTTATCTTTTCTGTAGCAAACCTTCTTTTATAAAGTTTTCGACTTTCGATAAAATAAGGAAAAAGAGGCGTGTAAAACAGAAGGTGATACTTTGATTCGGATTCACTTTTTTTAACATGTCGGATACATGCAAAGTGCAAATTATAAGATTAAATAAAATGTGACAGTCTACCAAATTTTGAATAATGCTAATTTAGGGGAAACCTTTGTCTTTGTCTGCATCTGAGAGTAGTGTGTACTGTATGTCTGGTTGATATATATGTATCAAATCTTTTTGAATAAAAAAACAATTTGACAAGGTTTCCAGCGCTGTCCTCACACCAAAGTTGTACGTTTGCATGTTCAAATTTAACACTAGCAATACTTAGTAAGTAAACATGTATTTCCCCGCTGTATGTACTGGTCAATGAATAGCACACAATTCTTTATAAACAGGGAAACCTATTTACATGAAATTTACGTGTGATAAACCGATCCCGATTCAAAATGATCACTGGATACTTGTTGTTGAATTAAACAGTATTATCCTGCACGTGATAGACACGACTAAAACACAAAGGTCATATAGAGTTGATTGGCAGTGGACCTGTTGACCTTGACCTGAACTAGTGTGTTGCCGGGCAATACAGATTATATCTAGCCTTGTTTCCGACATTACTCTATATATTTGTAAAACTGGGTATGTACATTTTTTATATATGGACTTTGTAAACATTCTTATTGTAACTAATAAAAATATGGCATTACGTATCTTGCCTACTCAATAATTTAACACGTTCATTGCATAAGCATAGTACGTTGTTATTTTGGTATGCAGCGTCTGGGCAACAGCCAATGTCATATGGAAATAGACACATTAAACTAACGACGGGCTCACATGTTTTTACCGCAATCCATTTAAAGGTAAACGAGAGCAGTCGGTACCAATTTGTAGAACGTTTTTTTCAAGGTCAGGGACCAAGAGCCATAACTCTCATCGCTTGGACGAACGCTCTGCACCAACGGCAAACAGCGAAGTATTGTCGTGAAGATTAGAAAGAAGATAAAATCTCACGAGCCGAGATGTTGAAAAGGGTGTAGCAAATTTTCATTTCTTGTGCATTTGGTAACAGCGGATATTATGTGTTCTTAATCCAAGATCTTTAGAGGTGTTGTATGTTGAATGGCGTTATTGTAAATTTGCAATTTGTATAATATATTTGTTAATAAAATTTGAATAAAAGTAAAATACTTATGTCTGAATATGTGAATGTGTAAAAGGACATATTTAAGAAGCACATATTGAAGATTTCAGAGTCATTATTGGTACTAAAATTAAATAAATGATAATATAAGTAGATAGTATTCCAAAATATTAGTGGAATTTTAGCTAAAACGGAAAGGTGTTTATAAAACATTTTACAACGTACAAGGGAAAAAAAAGAAATAGGAAATCATTTGGTTCAAACTTCAGAACTTATAGCATTGTCGATAACAGATATTTCAGTTAGTATTTGATGCAAAAACCCAAGAATACTTTAAACGACAAGGTATTAACAACTGCCATTACAATAGGGTGTTAAGTATTGTATTTCTAATACTGTCGAATACTTTCAACATTCAATCGACTGTACCTCAAATATACTCGTAATTTCCAATCTCTTCAGCGTCGGAACGAGAAGCTGTCGATTCAAAAGATCAGCAAAGAAGTATCCGAAGTTTGCCATGTACCACTGCATACCATACATGTACACTTCCGCCGGAACACCCAACATCGTGATCCCAGATTCGTACGAAACCATCAGTGATATTGCCACAGGAATAGCGGCCATTTGTCCACTGCCTAATAAATACTGGGTAGTTGTCTTCTGTTTCCGTCCCTTCAGTGATTGGTAAAGACCTATCCCAAGGGACATCATTATCGTTGCCGCGATGATCAGATAATCCTCCCATTTCAAAAACACCATTCTTAGGTTCGACTCTTAATATATCTGAAAAGAAATGAAAGATAAAAGATGCTGAAAGTTCTGATATCTGATGCAAATACGAAGAGAGCAATGTTTTGATAATATGTGTATGATCTTATTGCGCCACACGAATGTCTTAAAACCAACCTAATTATTTAAATAAATGGCAATTTTTTCTTGTATGGTACAAGCAGGTTTCTATAAGAGAAATAATGAATACGTAGCTTTGACATTGATATTTGAAAAACTTAAATTTGATAGTCAGGAATATGTTGAAAATTTAACAAAAATCTGAATGAAACATTCGCGAAATCAGGCTATTCTTACTTTCATTAACAGTATTTTTACAAAGTGAATAATGACACTGTTTGACCCAGACCGAACCTAATGGGAATATATGTGTTCATGTTAACGTAGCGTCACTGAATAGTATCCATAGTTACAAAAGTTCACGAGGACCTGGACCTGTGTAGCCGCTATGTATCATAGAAATGTATAGCACTCCAATAATTAGCATAGCTAACATTAAATTCCAATAGTGTTTATGTAAACGATTCATATGTTGTATTTCTGACTAAAATATAAGGGTAGAACAAATATAATCTTACCTGCAATATTTCTATATACCCGTCCCCGTAAAACGTGTGACCTCATACCACTCTGGATCAGTATTAAAACGTCGTCTGTCTCACCTCACAACTACATTGCTGTGAATGACGTGTCAGTATGTGGTAGAGGTAACAACAGGGATCGCTGGACGATATACACGCATTGCAGTGAAAACCACAGCAATACTGAAGGCTATCTTTTGCTTATTAGTTTCCCTTTGACGCACCCACCGCCACATGCAGTTTCCCTTTATTACATATATGTATAGCTTTTCAGCAGTGCTTTCATTATTTTGCAGTGAGAAGCATAACTTCACACACACTATCTTTAGGCTTAAAGCAGTATATTGTGACAGTACGTCTCTGCACCTTGTCTCTCGATGTACTATAGTAAAAGGTTAAGTTTGTTTTAGAATTATGTCCTGGTGATGTAACTAAATTAGTAAGACGCCAATCATTTGTTAATTACTAGATACCAGGTAGGTTTAATAATATGCACATCTTATGTAATCAAGTGTAAGGGTAGTGATAGGTCTTTGTGTGAGACTTGTGTCGGCCGGGTCGGTAGTCATAACAGAACTCACCCAAAAGTGTCCGTAGTAGGGTACGGAGATGTTGCGTATTCAGGGGCAAAGGCTATCAATTGATGCAGACCCCGGACACGTTACAATATCAAGTGGTTTACGTCAAGGTCACGAATTGATAAATATAGTTAAGTGCAGTTGTGTGCCCGCACAACGCACAAAAAAATAGCGTGCGCACATCGTGCATACATCGTGCACACATCATCCGCATATTGTCCACACATGGTGCGTACAACTGTTCAATTTAACAATCGTTCGCCCCGTAATGCGCTTCTCTCCGCACAAATGTGCGATTTAGGGTTGATCAATATTGCGGAATGAAGAAATTCCGGAACCCTCGTATGGAATAAGGAACACTGTCTGTATACATTTCTCATCAAATTAATTAGGATTTTCAATGCGTGTTACACATCATTACAGTGACCTTTAGACTGTCAAGAATGGGCTTATCTCCCAGGTAACAGAACAGGTAAATAACATTTTGATGATTTACCTGAGTTTAACCTGGCATGTGCCTGACAGAGAGCTGATATGTGATACCTTTTGGCCGTTATGAAAACACAACTGGATTTTTAATTTTTTATTTGCATTCGTTTTGGTCTATAGCTCCTTTCATTTGGTTTTCACACCTTGGCGAGTTACGCAAGTGCCCCGGGTGTGGAAAACTACGGTCAAAGTACGGGTACAAAGTGACTATGTTTACCTGGATACTTGACCATGTCCACATGTGTTATTTAACATGTGTCGATTTGGGTTGTTAAAAAAACCACGCAAAACACCTTATCTAAATTGAGAAAATATAGATAGAAAGATTAGCTTATATATGTAGCTAGAATATAGAAATATGCTTAAAAATCAAGTTTATATGTGTAAACACAATGCCGTATATATTTAAGCTATTTCTCAATTTACTTCAACCACGATTATCATCGCACAACGTTCGTCCATCGTCCGCACAAATGTGCGCAAGCAATAAGCGTCCAGATACATAATTGTTCGCTCAACATGCACGCACCGTGCGCACATCGCACGAACATCGCGCGCACACCGTACGTCGTGTAACGTTGTGCGATCCTACAATTGTATCTGTCCTGAACTAATGCATAAATGAAGTATTATATAAACATGTAAGATGTACCATTCACAGGTTATAAGTCGTTTTGCAGCTGACTAATCATTAAAAACCAATTTCTATTTTGTGACTGGAAAGTATCATCTACGTTAGAGGTGATAATTCATTGCAGCACCATCATTTAAACGATTTATAGTACCAGCTCGGGGACATAGAAACGAACCGACACAGTTCATCCCATTGAACATTGGTATACGGCAGAGGGTAAGGGCAACTTTTCTTTTGGTATCACGGAAGGACCCTTGATCTGCTACCTTTGCTATATTCACTTGTTTTGGCGTTACAATTTTAGCAAGTTACATGAGATATCTTGGATACATTGAAGTACAATTTAATGTATACTCGGGTATGACACAACAAAACGTGATATAAACCGCGTGTAACTAATTTTAATTTGTGTGAGCCTAATCTTATCATAAGTGTGTATCTCCCTCATTTGCCTACCTGCTTGGTTGTCTTGTAAATGATAGTATATAAAAGTTTGATTCAGATTTGGAATAAAATACACACAGTAATATTGTGGACAATGTGTAAGGCATATGTATAAGCACGAAAACAGAGATCGCTATTTCAACTTATAATGTAAGTAAGTGTTATAGTTTGCTAAATTGAAACCTACCATAAAGCATAAATCATTTCAAATGTAATGTGCTTTAAAAGACAGCAATAATGTACATTTTTTTCCTTTTTGTATGGAACTAAGATTTCATTTCCGGGATAGTTTATGTTTCGCAAGGGTGAATCCAAAATAGAATAATAACAGAATTATAAAGATGATCGCAACATTTGTCGACGTTTAGGACGAGGCTTAGGATAAAAAAATGACCCGGGAAACTCGAGCACATAATTTTATGTTCCCCCCTAATGTGAGCAATATTATACAGGACTCTTACATGTCCAGGGGTATAGATAAAGGGAAATGACATATGAGGGGTTTTCAAATTAAAGGGAAAAAAATCTGTCTATGCCGAAGGACATGAAGGAGTGTATTTATCTTATTCAAACTACCAGAATAAGCTCAGAAACCATGAAAATGCGTTTGGACTGGCTACAATCTTGAACAAATCCCCCTAAAGCTTTTTTGACGAAAACGAATTCGTCTGCGAGATTAAGCATATCCCATATTCATAAACATATTTTTAGAGGAAAAATATTTCATCTTTCTTACTACAAAAGATTTTATTTTCATCACATTGCCTTTTCGTCATTGCAGCATCGGCTATTTTACAAATTCGTGCAGTTACGTCAATGTTGGGCAATTGCGACGTTACGTGACGTAAAATTGGGTGTAAGATGGAAATTTCTTAAACCCTTTCTTACCCTGGACATCTATATCTTACACACACGGAAATGAAAGATAAGTCAATCGCATCCGTTGTTAAATACCAATATACGTGTATCACAACCTTAGCGAACATAATGGAACATGATTTTCATATTTTTGAACAAATCTTTCTTTTTTGTGATAATCTGAATCAGTGTTAAAATGTACAAAAACAAAAAAGTGAGTGCTAATATTTTAAATATACTGACTAAGATAAAAGAGCCTGACCACTAAAAGCCGAATTGATATAAAATATTAAGTAATATCAAGGCATATTGTATAACTTGAAAAAAATGCGCAATTTTAGAATTTAATTCAGATCATTATAACATAACAATTTGCGAGGAAATATATATATATATAAGTACATGAAAAATACCCAGCTCATAAAATAGTGGTAATAATCAGAGGACTAATAATTACCACTATACTACGTATGTTAGACATCTCAAACAGAGATACATTAATAATGCAATACATAATTCAACATCGAAGATAAAAAAGGAAAAACTATGGCAAAATATGATCAAATGCAAAATGTACATGGTGACCATTGGAAAGGTACATGGATGATAAGACCAGCTGTTCCTTCAGACTGTTCATTACCATGTAGTACGTATGCTGCGTCTTAATGGTCTATATGGCTATATTATGTAGCCTCTTCATTGACTAACATTGTATATGGATACTTCCGTCCTTTGTATTTGTAGTTATATTTATGTTTGGAACACTCGTGTGGCCGTCACTGAACATTTCCTACTTTTAAACATAATTATGGTGCAATGCAAGAATGCATAAACCAAAACCCAAACTCCCACAAACTATGAATTCTGAAGGATTTTTCATATAAAGGATATCCGGTATGTAATCGAAGAGGGGCGGCCCTATATGGGACATAATTATCCAATATATCATCAATATATTATCCTGCTTTCCCTACGGCAGTCAAAACGATATGTTTAATCCATTTTAAAGGTGAATCGTTAGTTATATACTATAAGGATGCGTAAATGGATTTCATTCTTTCATTTTTGTATTTGAAATAAATTCCATTAAAGAGGGATGGATACATTTTGTACGATGGAGGGTGTTTCTCCCTTTGGGAAATAAAGATGCAGTGGAAAGTAAGTTGAAGATGATCATTTGGAAATATAAATCTTTATAATAAAAAGATTAATAACCGAATTTGGTATGATGCATACTTTTGCCAAGTGGATCACATTAACAATAATAGAATAACGAAACGCAACCATAACAGTAATTCGCACTCATAATCGAGTTAGAGATAACAAGAGGCACTCAAACAACCAAAATTGAAAAACACCGATCTTCATATAAGACAAAGAAACGCC